CTCCTCCTTCTCCTCCTCCTCCTGCTCTGCTACTGCTACTGCTACTGCTACTGCTACTGCTGCTGCTACTGCTACTGCTACTGCTCCGTGCTACTACCACGACCACCACCACCACCACCACCGCCGCCACCACCATCACCACCTACTACCTACTACATGTTTGATGAAATCCTTAAAAATGTCTAGGGCTCAGGGCCTATAAATTGCCTTATTAAAAAACAAGTAAAAACAATCATTTGACAAGCTCACAAAGGGTACCCCTCACAAGGGCCGGCCCCCCATCAATAATCTGCACTACTACCCTCTATTAATTTGATCCTGTGTCCCTGGCCTTTTCTTTGTGCTACTACTACCTACTACCTACTACCTACTACCTACTACTACCTACTACCTACTACCTACTACCTACTACCTACTACTACCTACTACCTACTACCTGCTACCTACTACTACCTACTACCTACTACCTACTACCTACTACCTACTACCGAAGACGACTGCGACTACGATGGCTCCCTGAGCCGATAATTCAGGGGGGGTGGACCTCATGAGTGGTATCTCAGACCTTGTTGACCTTGTTGGCCTACCATGTGGGGGGGGGGTATTAATCCGGTCTTGACATTATTTGGAACAGAAAGTGATTGCGCAGTCTTGTTTTGGTCCATGATCAAAGGTTGATCAACAACAAAGGTTTTGTTTGTGCAGTGATCAACCGTTGTTGTCATGTTTGATCAGTTTTCATTCCAACCTGTTCCAGTTGGAACGAACTGCCTTGGTCACCAGCTCCATGGGTCGTTCGTGGCTCTTCAGCTGCGGCAGGACCTGCCCCGGGGAAAGTTTTGGATGAAAACGCAGAAGTTTTGTACATTGGAAGAGCCCACAAGGTATAAACAAATACAGTGGTATCTGCGTTCGCAACGCAGTCCACTGCTGACTGCGTTGGACATTCAGAATGCATATGTCTGATCGTCGATGGAACAGCAGTCGAGCTGAACTGGGTCTTTCGTCGATACCTGAACGGGGCCGTTCACCATGCCGCCCGAGTCACCGACCTTTGCCAGTTGAAAAAGGCAGAGATGAAGAGATTTCGCACACTAGTTGGGCAGTTGAGATCAACAAATGAGAAACATTGACCTGTGCAAAGAAGCTGGTTCAATGCAATTTGACAAAACTAGACCAAGTCTGTGCACAGAATTGTTTACAACTACAATTACATCTACAAGAATAAGGCACTATAGTATCCAGTGAGTGAGACTCACGGTTAGAAGCTCTGAAGCTCTTGACAAGTTAAGTTATAATATATATATATATATATTTAATAACATCTCAACTTTTCATATCAATATGAAATCCACGCCCACAGCAATTACACTAAATATTGATATTATCCAAGAACCTCCGAACACTTACATATCCTTTTTGACACTTGTCTTTTGGCCATTTTACCCTGCATTTTGTAGTTTTTTACATCAAAATAGCTCATAATGCATGTTGGATTAAAATCATCATTGGTACCATTATTGTACCTATAGAAACTTACCTTACACAAAAGGCTGTCCAATGCCATTCAGGATAATGTTTTACAAGAAAATTGCTAGAATCAAATATTGCAATATGTCAATCAATGCAACTACCTTAAGTCTTCCCGAGTCACCACATTTGCTTATATATACATATATGTATATACATATATTTCTATAGGCGCTGACATTAGCACTAGCAACTTTAAGTTCAATAGGTCTTGGAACACTTTCTCAGGGGGGGCCTAATCAGCGCCCACCCCAAAAACAAATGTACACTTATTATAATTTCTCGTTTAATAACCCAATCACCTTGAATCCTCCATAAGCACCACGAGTCACCCTGAAAGCCGTCCGCACCCTGAAAGCACGCGGATCCGATCGGAACGTCCGAAAACCAGAAGGTCGCCTCGGAAAACCAGAAGATCGGCGCGGGGGCGGCAAAGCGTCCAGGACCCATGTCAAGAAGCCCTGGAGTTGTGACAAGCAAGACCAGGTGTGGGAAAAATCAGCTGAAATACCGCTAACACAAGTGAATGCTAAGAAACATTAAGAAACACTGAGTGCCACCTTCCTTCAAGCATTTAATCATTGAAGTGGACACGTCTCATTTCATGCTCTTTCTTCAGCTGCTTTGTAAGCTGCTTATATCTGCTGCATCATATTAACCATCTCTAACTCAAATAGCCTCCAACGTGGCCTGGTGGCCGCCGGCCAGGCGGATAGAGTGCCCAGCGCTTGGCGCCGCAGAGCGTGGCGCTCCAGGCTCCAGTCCCGAAGGCGTCCACGTGGAAACGGCTCCCACTGCCGGGGCCTTCAGAGGGAAGGATTCGCTGCGGCCGGTTTTGGGCACGTCTGGGTGCAAAAGGGCGCTTGAAACGAGCCACCTTTACTCTGAACATACCGTGTTGAAACGTTTCCTCATGTGCATGTCACGTGCATGTCACCACCCACACGCACTTGGAAGGAGGCTCGTAAGAGCATAGTTCAGTGCATGTTGTGCAAGAGCCCTTTGACTGACTGCATCTTTTACAGCAAAACACCAGCATAAGCTCCACTTAGAAAACCACAAAAAAGAGAGTGAAACGCCAAGTGAAACAAGCAGGCAGGTAAAACGTGCAGCGTCTTCGTTGGCCGTGCACTTCTGTACATAAATAGTTTCTGATCTTCCCGAAAACAGTTTCTGAAGCGGACAACAATCTATTAACTCGGCAAACACCTGTGTTTGAACCCGACCAAACCTGCGTCTTAACCCGACAAATAACCAGTTCTGAATCCTACTTTCTGACAGTTTCTGAACTTTACTTTGTTCAGTGGAAAGCCATGAAGTCGTCAGAATCTAAATCTGCCGGACAGGTCCGGTCGGGAATGCGCCGGAGAAAGTAAAGGCCGAGATTGGGTTTTGCAGTGGAGGAGCACGATTGCTGTGTGGGCATGTGTGGGCATGTTGCAAAGGACCCGGACTGGCTCCTACAGTATCAGTTGCAGATGTCCTCCATGAACCGTATATCGTATAGCATTATAGCTAATTATGTAATTGCAACATTAATTGCTACAGTCTTTGAGAAAACCTTGCACTGGTTTCAACGCTTGCCAGGCACAGCCCGGTGGGCATTCTTACGATGTAAGTGAAGCACTCCGAGCGCTCGCAATGAATCATTGAGTCTCGGGTGTCTTGGCACACCCAATTGGATGTGCCCTCAATGAAGTGAATCATTGAGAGTTATGATGAGATGAGGGCACATCCCACATCGAATTGAGAATTATGATGAATTATGAATAATTGTGATCATGTGCTCTCAATCAACTGAATTGAGAACCCTCATGCATTCGAAAACGCCCACTGCCTCCAATCAGCAGCCATCCCCGGACCAGCTTCCGCAAGGCTTCAGCGACGGGGCACCCTCTCTCCCGCGCCAGGTCCAGCTGAGTGGAGAGCTGGGGCTGCCGCAGGGGGCGCAATGCCAAGGGTGGCTTGGGATCAAAGAGATACCTCGGGCGGTTCGTAGAGTCAGGTGGACGTGATGGAGCGTGCCGCTCCGCACCCAGGTGTTGGGTCCGCCAGGCACTCCTGGGTGGAGGCTGAAGGCAGTGACTGGTGCGACCCAGGTACGTGGGTAGATTGAAGAAGCATAGGAAAACGTGGTCGCACCTGTTTGAACAAGTCACAAGGGTTCGGCGTCCCAGCGGGGCGGCTGGGAATCGCTGATCGAGGATTCGAAGGCATAGCGGAGAAAGTGGTCCAGCTCCATCCGATAGACCTGTTCAAGGACAAGTCCAACCACAGAGGTCTGTGAATTGGCGATGGGAAGACACCAAGTTTGAAAACCACGGCCCCGAGCCCTGACCAAAGGTGAACGGTCAAGTCGCCGCAACGAAAATGAAATGGATAGATCTGCATTCAGACAAAAGGAAAAAACTGGAAACCATGGAGAATCTGCTGAATCCTCTTTGTCAACAGCATTCAACGAGGATCTGGTAAAAACTCCGCGTTAGGTTCGCTGCGAAGGCTTTGGTCCGATAGCGATGCTTGTAGCCTCCTATGCTCAGAGGTTCTTCACATACCCTCACCCCGTGACTTGAATTCAAACTCGTTGGGGTCAGGGCCATCGCGCCGTGACAAGGGGCCATCTGGTAGACATGCGTGGATTTGACAAAGCTTGGCTTCGCACGAAGGTTATCAGGTTACCTTTCGAAATTTCTATATCACTCATACAAGAAGGCTGGAGACTTCTATATTTTTCCAGTCCGAATGCAACACGAGGTGACGGTTGATTTTTTGCCAGAAAAAGGGTGTGTCATGGTCTTTGGTGCGAACAGTCCATCAAACTATGCCTATGCCTTAACCGATGTCTACAACTCCATGCCTTAAGCCAATATAACATCAAAGATGCTAGCAAAGTGACGACAAGGTTCTGACCAAATGTTTGTTTAAGGGATGGTTTTTCATGTGTCTTGCACAAACAATCAAGTGCGTATATACAACCAAATTATTTAGTATATTTTAGTATACCATTGAGTGTGTATTAAAAAGAGTTAAACTGAAGGACACAGCCAAATCCTACAGTTTAATGATATGCAACGCGATGTATGGAATCCCAAGCCCCGACCCAGGCACAGCGCGCCTTTTCCGCAGGACTTGAGCCAAAATGCAAGGTGATATCAAAATGATGTGGGGCGACCGCCAGGGAGGGTTGTTTCATGTGTATATTTTCAACTCCCCCCTCAAGCTGTGCATGGTGGAAGCCCCTGACAGAAGTGCGCTTTCAGCACACTTGATTTCCGGTGTCTATGCAAGGACGGCCCACACACACGATTTCACGTCAGTTGCAAGCTCATGGTTCACAAACGCATAACTGACGGAGTGCTTCCGGCCAAAGCATGGGCGGCATCACCTTTGTAAGTGAGTTCGCAAGCTGAGATTCCGAGGAACAGTAGTTAATTCTGAACTCTTCTTCGTCAAGCAGTTCCTTTACGGATGCGAGATTCACTCGGTGGACTCGGTTTGCTCCACGGAGCTTCACACTGTATCCAGCCTTGACAACCGTGATTGTCGCTTGGTTGTCCTGCTCGAAAATAATGCCAACATTTAACTCTACCAAGGTCTCAAGCATCAGATGTAGGTGCAAAGTTTCTCCGAGCAATGCTCCTGCCAATGCTATCAGTTCGGCTTCTGTGGTGCTTCTTGCAGTTGAACTTTGTTTCTTGCTCTGCCATATGACAGGAAAGCATCCTTGACCTGTGCGGACGACATAAACAATGCCTGTCGTGGACTTCGCAGTGTAAGGGCATGACGAAAAGTCTGAATCAGTGTATACGTGCAACGAAGGCGGTGCCGCAACTTCGGCAGAAAGCTTCATCACATGGTCACATGTGGAATGAAGATAACTGATCAAACGATTGGTTTGACGGTCTTCCCACTGCGTCCAGCGAGGCACACGGCTCGCCAGGCGTTGAACTGCGAATGCAATGTCCGGTCGCGCAAGGCGACTTAGCCAGAGGCATCGCATCAATATTCTCGATGCGTATGTCGAAAGCTCCCCAACTTGACCCGATTCTTCAGCGGACATGTTGGATTCTGGGATGCAAGGTGTCGACACGCGACGAAGCTTGTCTTTTGAAACACCTGTCATCTCGCAAAAGAACTCGACAATACCTTTGGTATACGCAGTCATGTCATATGTGAGAGTATTCATTTGTGAGGTTCTTTGGATCCTGTGAATCCTTCCAAGAATCTTTGTCCCCTTTTCTTCAATGAATTCAGGTGGATCTATTTTTGTTTTGGTCTTCAACTCATCCCAAAACTGGCATTGGATTTCTTTTGTCCTCCCTGCGAAGGTAAGATCGTCCACGTATGTTCAGGATGAGAGTGAACTCTTCGTTTGGTCCATGCCGAAACACAAAGTTGGATGGAAATTCTTGGATGGGTGCGCCTTTCATTTCAATCAACTGGCGTTCTAAGTGGGCCTGCCATAGGTTGCCACTCTGAGGGTGACCATACAGTGATTTTACCAGTTTTGCTGCAAGCTTTGTTGTGGGTTCATACTTTTGTTTCCACACTGGCAGCCAGAGCTCAAAAGGCAAAATCACCCAGGTATTGTCGTCTAGACGACATTGAAGGTATGCTTGTACACAGTCGGCGCAAGACACCACAGTCGTGAGGCCATACCATAGGGTCATGTTTAACGCAGCTATTGCTGTTGGCGTTGTTGCTGTTTCGTTCTCAGTAAAGAAAACATGGTCCCCAAACTGGTTTCTGATAAGATCGCCTCTATACACGATGTCGTGGTGGTATGCTTCATCCATTTCGAAGTCAGTGTTTTATGCCTGCCAAGACAAGAACTTCGGCAATATGTATTTCTTCTCCACGCTCCTTTGCTTCGCGTTTGAGCGTGCTGACAATGATGACTGAATCATCATCCCATGTGCCATTGGCACGAAGACCACTTGCTTCTGCTTCAATGGCTTTGAGTGCCTTTTCATCATTTTTCCATTCGGCTTTGGTGAGGTTCTTGGTCACGAAGGCTGGTTGAGAACACAGATTTGGGATGTTCTTATTCCACTGCTTGGGGTACCATGCTTCTAGAATGGTATTGGCAAACTCTGGAGTGTAGAATGCAGACTGGGCAGCGTTCTTCCCAAGTGATTCTTCATGTTCATGTGTCTTATCACACTGGCACTGAGACAAGAACTGAATGAGACGCAAATCACTTGTTGTTACACACCATGGCTGCTTGAGATACTTACCGTGCTTACCTCTTAGGTTTAATGCGCATCCGTTGAAATACACTCGCTTCATACCTGCTCTCTCTTCGAAGGCAAGCAAATGCGGGTTGTTCCAGAGCTGGTTTCCTGCAGGCAGCTTGAATGCGACACGTCCACCGAGTTCAAGGGTTCTCTCAAGAAATTGTATGGCATACTGTAACAAAACTTCAGACTCTGCTTTTCTCTTTGCCAATTTCTTGGCATATGATTTTCCACGCGCGTGCAAGTTGAGGTTTTGGATTTGTGTACGGTGGGTGCATGTTACAGACGCCCAGGTGCTGACCATGGTCTCAAGCTGGCCTAAGGCTTGTTGGACATGGTGAGGGTTACACAAATCTAGTATTGACCTGGACAGTCCAATACACTTTACCCCAATTGCTATGGCATGTTTGCCGATGACCGAATCATCTGAACAGGCAAACTCGAAAAGAGTACCATGACCTTTCTGAGTGTTCATACGTCTATTCTTAGATCGTTGATTGCTTGCTTGGATGAAAGATTCATCGATCGTTGATGCAACTTTGTTGATCATTGCGGCCTCTGGATCACCTGGCGGCATGCCTGCGCTGAACGGCAAGTCGTGAGGGTGGATCTCAGCGACAGGTTCGTCACCTACAGCTTCGGAGAGCAGATCTTCAACCGGCGCTACACCATCTGCTGGAGGCAATGGCGATTTGTCTGGTTTGGCAGCCTTTTCGGCTTTCACTAGCATGTCAAATCTTGCTTTACACCTACTGTTATGATGCCCTTTCATCTCCGAACACGCCCGACAGTCGCGGGTTGCGCCGAAGCGAATGATTCTGTCAAGGGTGATGTATTCATGGCGAACGGCAGGGGTGGCATTTGAGAAAGGCACTTCCTTTGGAAGAAGCTCTGCAAGGGATGGTTCACTGAAATCTGCCAGTGCGGTTTCAGCTGCATTATGCAGTGGGAGGATTGGGTCGCCTGGTGGCACATAGATCTCCTCGATTGGCACGGACAGCGGCATCGGATACCCTGCTGCTTGAGCTTTAACTGATGCGTAGTCGATTGTCAGATAAATGCCTTTGTGTGACTTCGGTCCACTATCATATCGCCAACCAATGAACAAGGCCGGAACGGCATTTGCATCAAACTTGTGACGATTGAGGGGATCTTTGCGGACAAAGACAAGCTGACCCAACAGCAATTCCCTTCCTTACCACTAGCAAGCATATGGCGGTTGTGAGGGTTCCCTTCATTGTCTTTGACAGGATGATAAGCATTGATTACAATAGCTGCGTACTGCACACTATGTTGCCAAAGGTCCGTCAACAGGTGGAACCCGGCACCAAGATGTGCAGCTCTTGCTACCTCCTCCAGCGTCCTGATTTCACGTTCAATGACGCTGTTGTGAGGCCACCTCCTTGAAAGTGACGGTTCGTGCACGAAACCTAAAGTCGTACACGCTGACATGAACTCAGGGGCATTGTCTGATTTGCACATGATGGTTGGATGTGCATGGTATGACGGCCCAAGGAAGGACAACATGAACTTGACAATGGTGTTGGACGATCTTTTGGTACATGGATATGCAGCCAATGTATCCAGAATACTCATCTCTAAGAACCAACACAACAGATTCTTTATCACTTTTGCGCGACTTACTGACAATGATGAAGTCTGCTGCCAACCTTTGTCCGAGCTCTGTGACTTCTTCCAATTCCCCCTGGCTTCAAGAGGCTCACGACGCTTTCGCGTTATCCTCCGCCTGTACATGCGAGAACGACGACATGAATCACAGTAAGGGTTCTTAGGAATGTGGCACATTCTATGTTTCATGGATCTCGCTTCGGCTTGTAGCCGTTGCGCAAGTGGCAGTGGTCGGAGCGGCCGGTGCTGGGGCTTATTCTTCTGATGCTTCAACACGTTCTGCTCCCTCAGCCGGCAGTGCGAAGGTGACATTTTCTTGGAACTCTTCAAAAAAGACGTGGTCTTCTACACGGGCAGACTGTCAATGTCATGGCAAAAGAAAGGCAGTTCTCCCGGCAACCATACAAATGGCTTCCCTGCCGACACAATTTGGCCTAATGATCTAACAAGTGGGCAATCTTCCATCAGACTGAAGTTGGCATGACCAAATGAAGACCCGTTCATGGCTACGCATGTGTCTGCAGTGTAAGAACCGTTTCCCGTTTCAAACTTGATTGGTGGGATTGACTGAGTGCACCTTTGAACCATGTCACTATGAACGCCCTGTTCGGCGAACGCACGACTAGACGCAAGATCACGATCTGCACCTGAATCGGCGATCCATTCTAAAGCAACATGACTACTGGCTTTTGACTGCGCAATCAATGCATGGGGATCATGATACAAGATAGCTGGTGCACCAAGACTAGATGACGATGCTTGTGCATCCCACAGTGTTGCAGACCCCTGTGGCAAAACACAACTGGAAATGATGGAGGCAAGTGCAATGAAAGGTCGAACAATCGCGCGAAGGGATGACTTCAAAACGGATTCATTTGACAAACCATTCTGACTTCCACTTGTGCGAAAAGCAGATGTGCGCGCAACACCGCCTGCTGCAGCAAGAACTGCAACTGTTGCCTTTGCATTTGCTGGCGCAGCTGCCTTTGGCTTTGCTGCTGGCTTGGCTTTCGGATCATGAAGAAACGGGCAACCCTCCCCCCTGGTGCATGTCCCTTTGGGCCAGAAGAGGCATGGCACAGTGGCTTTGCCACTCGCCTTTGGCTCGGTCTTAGCTTTGGGCTTCCCTCCTTTGTCTTCAGAACCTGTACTGCCTTTACCTTGACCCTTTGGATCAACCTTTGGCTGATCTCCACCTTTTCCACCCTTGTCCCCTTGATCCCCAGCCTTCGGCGGAGGAGGTGTTGCCCTCGGCTTTGCCTTGGGCTTTGCGGACGGATTTGGCAAACCTTTGGTTCCCTTTGGGTCATCATCGGCACCTTGTGCAACTGCAGCCTTTGAATCAGGCTTAGGCTTTGCCTTTGCTTGCAAAGATGCGCGAATCGATTCTTCGTTTGCGTCTTCTCTGATTTCAACCAAAACAGCTTTTATCTTATTCATCAACCAGTCCCAGGTACGACAGTGCGATGTCTCTCTCGAGTCTCGAATGCGATCGATGTGACGCTGCAACAACTTACATTTCTTGACCCTTAAGTACAACCATGTAAACTTTGTCACTTCTGTTGGTTGATGTGTTGCTGGGATGGCGTTGAGAACATATTCAATGCCTTCAACAAATTTCTCAAGATCACGCGGGGTAAAACCGTCCAACTGCAAATCAAGCAAAGCCTGCTGAGTGAGGTTGCTACCACGATTCAAATCAAGACGAAAATGCTGAGACAACATGAACAGGAAAGAACGACCTCTTGGGGCTCGCATGGCTTGCTGGCAGGATTCTGCATATGTTTGAAACCTCATACCGAGTTCACCCTTCAAGTGACGACTGTCCATCAAGAGGGATCCAAGGTGGGCGTCCAAACGCGGCAAAAGACCACTGTCATGAAAGTCCGATGCGTCTTTACCTTCGGTGAATGCTTGCATGACCCAAGCCAAGATAAAATCTCGAAGCAATTCTTGTCAAAAAGGTGTTCTTCCATGCTCTGAACTCTGACGCTGTTGTTGGGAGAGTTTCTATCTTGATGAGTGACAGATCCTTTGATCTATATACATCTTTCCCGACCATGAAACCCAATGGACCGGAACCAACTCCTACCAACATGTTCTGCTGGTCATGACGCCATGAGGACTATCGCTCGACGATGATGACGACGGGTCACTGGAAGGTGGTCCTGGCCGCGCCGCAATGGCACATGGAGTGGTTGCTATGGAAAAGGTTTTCACAGGCAATGGAGGAACAATGACCGGATATGACGGATCAGGCACCTTCCAAGACGCAAAGCTGGGATCAGCTCCTGCATAGCAATGGGCATTCCCTTTTGGTAGGCTTCCATTTCTTCAGCCCCTCCATCGGCTGAAACACATTCTCAGCACCACCAAACAAAGGGCAATGCTCCAAATTTGCACCCTTGTCATCAAGGCTTGCCAACAAAAATACTTTGTCACCATGATCAGGATGGCAATACCTGGACTGGGTGGATTGGATCACATATATGTTTTCACCTTTTGTGCTAAACACAAGAACAACTGCCCTATGCAAAATGTACAGCATTGAAATACAGCCCAAATACGCTCCACCAACTTTGATGTGGGTGTTCTGAAGCAAAGCAATCTCTTTGTCACTACAATTCACCAAGCCTTTCAGTCTCACCAGAACTGGAAGCACCGAGACCAGCTGTTGGCCAGTAGTTCTTGTGTACCCATTCAGCTTTGCTGTAAAATCTAAGCTTTCTCTTTGGGCAACCTTTTCTTTTTGAAGCAGGTGCAAGATCATGTTGACACATGTCTCACCAAAACATGTAAATCCAATCTCCTTTTCCTTCTTCAGGGCCTCTGGCCACATGGTGGGGTAACAAATTGTTTGTTGAGCCACAGCTACTGATCCATAAGAAGAACAAAAAACATCATGGGCATGCTATGATTTTATAAAGTTCAAGCAAATGCGAACATGAAAACAAAAGCCCACTAGGCCTCCAAGGTTTTGCGCTGTCAATAATGAAAACAAAAGCACCAAGTGCTTGGAGGAAACCATTGCAAAGACTGGTTGTTTCTGAACAGGAGAACAAACAATATTCAACAGAATTGTCAGCACAATGGTTGTATAGAACAACAGAGAACCTTTTGATTTTTGAAACTACATTTCAATGATTTCCTTGAAAAAACAGTGCAGTAGCAGCCAAGAAAATGCATTGCACACAAAAACAAACTAGGGTGGCAACAGAAAGTTAATCAACTATTATTTATTAAAAGTTGTACATGCACACATGAAAAGTTAGCTAACTCTTACTAACTCTCATTACTCTCTAACAAAATTAACATAATTAGATAACTTTTTGCAACTCTTAATAATTTGTAATTTTCATAACACATTATTAATACCTTAGCAATAGGTTAGTGATAGTTTCAGAAGCTGATAGCATTAGGTTAGCAAATAGGTTAACTTTGCTAACACATTAGCAACACCCCAGCCCATCTAAGTAGGGGGAACAGCACTGACTGATTGAAGATGCACTCAACAGTCGCGAAAAATCCGGCACACCACCTGTCGCCTTTGGCAATGTAGTGAATGATGAGCTCGAATACTCGCTGACAACCGAAGGAGGCGGGACCACAGACGGCCGAGGATCAACCTGCTCCCCTCCTCAATCTCCTCAATCTCCTCGTCCACGCCCGGACAGAATCAGCAAACGCAGCTTCCAGCTCCTCGTCCGCAGCCGATGGGATGATCGGATCCCCTCTCCTAGGCAACTGATTGTTCTTCACAGCAGCGTCCTCCCTCGCCTGATCCTGCCGACGACGTAAGCCGAGTTGTCAGATGCAGTGACAGCGAACTCAACCAGCTGCAAATAGTGCTCGACAATTGTGAGGATCAAGGATTTCCGACGACTGAAAGATCTTGCCTCCCCGACGCTCTGCACAGAGCCGCAAATACTACTCTGTCTCTCGATTCAAGCGCTCACCCAACATTCTGTACCAACCGCGGAGACCTTGATCGCCGCCGAAAGTCTGAAGGGCTTGAACGCATGAACGCAGTGAAACTGTGCAGACCGCGGTGAAACAACAAACGCTTGCAGTGAAACTAACGCGTAGCTTGGACCGAAGCGATTGCGTCACACGTTTGACGAAATTTAGTGCTTGGGATCTCACTTGAGACTTCCTAAAGAATGTTCAAGAGATCTGGCAAAATGCAAGCCAGGCACAACTCTAGAGTATGATGATGCTTTCTTAATATGGAGGTTAAACTACGATGCGGTGTTGCCACAAGGCAAAACCCCCGCTGCCCTGCTTCTCGGACCCACTCGGCAACGGAAAGGGGCAGCTCACCTGAAGCGAAGTGCAATCGGACGGGCTGGGATCACACTCAAGATGTCAAGACAAGGGTCCTAGCTAGCAACTCGATTTAAGCTCTGGATCACAAGTTGACACTCGAATGGCGGTGGTGCAAACACTAGGAGGGCTCAGGTCCTAATGCAAGCGAATATGGAAGGTCTCTGTGAGACCTGGCTTGAGGCTGTTAACCAGTTAAACTGAAGGACACAGCCAATCCTACAGTTTAATGATCTGCAACGCGATGTATGGAATCCTAAGCCCCGACCCAGGCACAGCACGCCTTTTCCGCAGGACTTGAGCCAAAATGCAAGGTGATATCAAAATGATGTGTGGCGACCACCAGGGAGGGTTGTTTCATGTGTGTATGTTCAACTAAAAAAACAAAAAACAACTATTTTTGTGTGTTTTGTATACCATTGAGTTGAAGGGTGTTTCAAACTAAAAGTTTCCACGACCGGACATGAAACACGGGGATCCGCCTCGCCGGCGCCGGGCAGCGCCACGCGGAAGCGTCGGGGGCCGAAGGTCTTGCGCAGGCGCCACGGCGTCCAGGCACCTGGCCATCCTGCGAAGAAGTGGCCCAGCTGCACCTGAAAGGCGTTGGGAGGAAGAGAAAACCGAAGATTCTCAAGCCCCTTCACTCGACTTATTTCAGTTTTGAAATGTGGTGCAATCTAGAGTTGATGTAAATCTCTTCAACTTGTTAGGTCATAGTTGGGTGCTGCTCAACCAAGAAATTTGGCCACCACCCTGGGCGGTACGTACTTCACCTCCCAGCAACACAGGGTGGGTCGCTCATTCCACAGCGCAATTCGCTCACGCAGGTACCGCGCACATTCGCGTCACGCTTCCGCGACCACATCCGCTGTGGTCTGCGGGTGAGCGACGCAAACCACGCCTCTTGGAAATGGCACGGCTGCTCAGGACACACCCAAGCTGACACACCCTCAATCCAGTTCCGCACCTGAGAAAAAGCGACCTCATCGACGTCATCGATGTAACAAACATGTGGGGAGGACGAAAAAGGACCCACATGTCACGAGTCAAAAGTCCACCAGGACCAGAAAGATTAAAACAAAAAAAACAGACCTGCACATCATCAGTCCCATCAGTGAGACAGGGTGGATGAAACGCCGAAGTCCTGGAAAAGCCGAGCGGACATCCCGTGTGTCCCACGGAAGAAAGTGATCATGGTGGGACCGGTCCGGTCGCTGTTGAGATCAATGTCTCGCCGTGCCTCGCAGAATCTTTTTGGGTTACAGCAAGCTGGAACCTGGTAGGAGAGAGATACCATTGTAGTTGGAAAGAACTACGAGGTTTTGTGGCAGAACTGAACCACCAACCACCTCATCCCACGCCTTCTTCAGGACCTTTGGGTCAGCTCTTTTCCGCGGTGCACAGCTCCACAGCACTCCACAGCGACAACTCCACTGGAGCGTCGTCGCCGAGCAGCCTGGCAAAACAGCCCAGTGTCATCTACTACTATCCAACTTGACACCTGGAAGCCGGACTGCTTATCACTGCTAGGGAATGGAAGCTGAGGAGCTCAGATTAATTAGCTCAGACCCTGATTTGGGTTCCGCAAATTTATGCAGTTGACACAGTTAACTGTCCTTGGTCCATCCGTTCATGTTGCCTGCTTCCCGTTGGTGAATGCACAGAAAAGTACGTCGCCAGGTTCCCTCGAAGCGCAGCTCTTCGGCACCTCCGGCGGCCGCCCGGAGGCCGAAAGACGCAACAGGGCGGGCACTACGAACCGAGTGATCGGACACTACGATCTCCTGGCCGTACTACTTAGTAAAGAATACTAGCTGCTATATAAAAGAATCCTTGGGGCCTCCATGGCATGGGTCGGACCCCCGGGTCCGGGTCCCAAAGCCTTCGGGCCCGGAGTCTTTCTGGTAGCTGTCAGGTCTTTCTGGCACAAGTCACAAGAGTCTCAGTGCAACGGGGGTTGCAGAATGAAAACTACCTGGAACACCGAGTATGTTGAAATTATAACTCGCATTCAGAATCAGTTCTGATTTTGCATTCTGGATCTAATTAGCACTTTCCGCGATAATGTCCGTTCGAGGATCGGGGGTTCTCGAATTGGTTCCCGAATGGGTTCCCGAATTGTGTTTCCCGAATTGTTCCCGAATTCTATGATTGATCTTTGGCTGCTACGCCGGCTGCTTTATTGAAGGATGGATCAAGAAGTTCGCACATGTCGATTCATATATCGGAACCAGCCGAGCCGATCTCGACTTGCAACCCATGACCCCGCCGACACGATGCGGAATCTCACTTTTTTTCAGGAGATCCAACCAAAGGTCAGGTGAGATGGGCGGAGATGTGACATGTGTATGTCAATCATGCCCATGGCACGCAACTATATACACATGAAATCAAATATACTGTGGCCTGATCCAGCCACAACTCATGGACCATGCCATGGACCGAGCCTCTTGATCAAGCAGACCCCACAAGGATTTCCTGGCTTGTTTATCGAACATATTTGCGATCGATCCTTCAGTCACTCAAGTTGTTTGTGCGTGCGTTGTGCGCGCGCACCTGCATCATGAGGTTTTTGCACATGTCACATGTTTGTGTGGTAGGGTTGGGCAAACTGTTACCATCCTTGTGGCTGGACCATTTCAGCATGCACCCAAGCTCACTTGATGCTGCCTCTCCTGCGCAGCTGCTGTTGGGACAAACGCGATTTGCTTGGAGCCGCTTCGACCCTTTTGATTGGAAAACATGGTGGACAACGCGCTTGTCCATGCAGAGTTGTTTGATCGCCCGGCGGCTACATCGTCGGCGAACGACCGTGTTGGGACCTACTCACTTCAAGGGCTTCACATTCAGTGGGACAATTTGAAAGCTGTCAGAGATCGACTTCGGATGAACAGTCGCCTGATCATGCATTGGGATCCCGAGACTGAAAAGTTGACCAACATTTATCCCGAGAAAACGTTGCAAAACGTGAGGAAGAATCGGGAACAGCTCCGTCCTTTGCTCCATCTCATGAAGGAGAACAAGCTGTTTCTGCCTGGCATCGACGGCTTGATTGAAGAGGTCAGGGCACTTTATCGATGTGCAAAATGCGCTTGTTCCTACGATACATTGTACTGGGAGGCATGGGCTTGCCGCCGCCTCCTAAGTCTCGCGAAGAACACATTGTTGTATCGCAAATTTCTTTCGGAGGACTGGTGTCATCATATTGAAACCTTCTGAGTTTTGATGTTCTGTGCATGCTTACCGTCAGTATCATGATATACCCATGCGTGCACAACATGTTTAATAACATGTTTTCTTGGTGAACAAGATTGAAAGAGTGAGACATTCTATTAAATTGAAAGTATAATAGGAAAACGTTCAGCATGGAAAGGCATGCAAGGGTACATAGGTTGTATAGAGGATCGATGTATGATGATGCATGTGCTGAAATGTTTCATGCGCAGGAGGACCATGAGTTGTTGGAGGTTGCCCATGATCTGGGGGTTGAGGTGAACATCAGGCGAAAGGAGAGTCCAACGTCGCTGGGTCAGGCATACCCCATCATGGACAACCCGGAGAGTGTTGAGACTGAGATGTCACATCCAACTCCATCACCTCCTCCTCCTCCGCCACCTTCAACTCCTGCTGAGCCTGCTGAGTCTCAAGGCTCTTTCCCAGCGCTTCCTCGAGCATCTTCAGTGCCAGTGTTTGGGGCTGCGGACGGAGAAGCTTCCAAGCCCAATGCTGCTGACACAAGTGATGGAGTCCGACGCCAACTCCAGTTAGAGGATCTCGCGGCTTGCCGTTTCAGACCATTTGCCAATCAGCCAGTCATCACACGAGTGCTGTTTCAGCGTTCCCTTCGTCAGACCACACTGGATGAATATTCTGGATGGGGTCTGCTGCCTGCTAAGGATGCGAAGGCTGCCAACGGCATTGAGGCGGAACACCCCAACCCCGAGCTTAAGCCTGCGTCTGATGGAGAAGTGCCGCAGCCGGCGCACACACCACTGGACCCGCAGGAGCCCATATAGTGAAAAATATACAACTGCATATGGTGAAACCTGTATCGCAACATGTCTTACAAAATTTGGAGGCTATATATATCTATAGATGTTTAATCTTATATAACTTGATGTGCTTTTACATTCATTCATGATCCTTCATGCAAATACTTGCATGTTACAAAGGTTTCATGCACTTACGCTGTAGAAGCCGTTGGCTTGTCTATTTGTTTGGCGCAGGAAGTCGCCAGCAGTCAGATGATTACCATCCTCGACTCTGACAACGAAGGTTGCCATGAAGGTGGTGGTGATGGTGCACATGAGGAGCCGAACGCTTTGACGGAGGAGCTCTTGATGGTTTTAGAAGAGATCGAGAAACTGGAGCTATCTAGCCAAATCGAGTGATAGATTTTCAACCCTTCCTGTGTTTATTTTGTGTTCTGGGCGGTCCACGCACTATATATACCCCGGGCTCCAAATGAGTATATATAAAAACCTTGAGGTGTCAACGCATGACATACAGATCACAGTTTTTTTCCCATGCATGCCAAAAAAACCTTTGCCAACACGCGCGGCGCTCGCCCAGGTTGAGCCAGGCCTCAGCTGCAAAGCCAGATGAACCGCCGTCCGAGATGGCCAAAGAGCTTCCTGCACCAGAAGAACGTGTTTCGGCCAATGGAGTAATTGTGTAATTGTCAAACATGTTGTTCTTGCATGCATGTGGTATATACTCCATGACCATTTGACACATCGCCGTTCCAAGTTGTTTTCCTGTGTGCGTTGTGGAGGAGGTATGTTTATCGATCGGCGTGCAAACTCGGCGCGGTGGCATCTGTTGTGTGGGGCCCAGGTTCTCCGCCAACCGCGTTGCACGACTCGCTCCCACAAATTGCGGACAATGACGAGACCCAAATGCTGGTTTCACCAAGTGACTTTGACAAGACCGCTGCCAACAAAGGGATGCTGAAGGCAGAGGATGAGAATTACAAAGCTGCGCTTGAGGGTGGTCAGGAGCAGTGCAGTTGTCAGTTCACATCTTTGGGGGGTTGAGATTCTAGAAAGGGCATACTGCTGTTTTGTCACTGTCAGCGAGTGCAAGGAGGTAGATCCATCATCTCACGCGTGCGTCCAAATATAGTATTCGATGTATTTGTGCATATGCGGGCCTATATATTGGCAATGCCAATTATAAGAAGTCTCAATTATGTAAATATAAGAAAAACGTGCAGTATAGAGGCTTGTTTTGTTTGCGATAGTGTGGCACTGCTTCTGAGCAACCGCGTGCCAAGGCACAAAACATCCAGCCGTGGCACCATGCGAGCAAAACATGCTAGCAAAACATGTAAGAGCAGTGCAACAAACTTTTGAACATGCAGACCAAAGTGGATCTAAAGCGGGATTCTTTTGATACTCTTCTTTTTCAACACAAACTGCACAAACTATATACCCATGGCATGCTATGTGAGCAAACAGCTTTGCCCAAGCAATGTGCATGCACTTTCTATAGCTCATGTTTCCAATCCTTCAAACTGGGATCACGAATGTACCAATCTCAGTTGCCGCAACCCTGAAGGATGCTCGCTACCCAGAGGTACCGTCCTTTCCAGCAGTGACACGCCGCAAGCAATTTGGAATGAAGGATGAAAACCAAGAGGCGAAGGCAGAAAAGAAGAAAGACCGCAAGAGAAAGAGAGGTGAAGGTGAGAAGGGCAAAGCCGACAAGGTTGACAAGAAACGTCGATCCAAAGCAGCGGCCAAACGTCGAGCCAATCGAAAGACAGGCCAGAAGAAGGGGAAAGCACTCAGTAGGAGTCCATCGAAGCAAAGGTTGGGGGTTCTTCGCAGTGGCAAAAAGGCCAAGTCCCCATCGAAGACTCCAACTGAGCCTGAGGCTAGTGTGGAGCGCACTGAACGCCCATCATCGTCAGAGGGGCCACCCAGATATTCAAAGACCAAGCCAAGCAAATCATCGAAGTCCAAAGCAGCAGCTCCAGTGGAGCCACCGGCAGAGAGTCCAGAGTTGAAAGAGAAGGAGAACACAACGAAAGAGAAGAAGAACACAAAGAAAGGGAAGAAGAACACAAAGAAGACGGCAGAGAGCAAGAAGACGGCAGAGAGCAAGAAGACGCCGCCAAAGGGCCGCAAGAACAAAGCTTCCCAACCTCAGCAAGATGAGTACTTTGACCATTATGTTGAGTGTGTCAACAAGGTGATGGATGAGTGTGAGTCAACAGACTGCGTTCACCCCGGCGCCTTTGAGGGGAAGGTACCGGCAGATTTCCAAATTTCATGCTACTGGACCAGGCATGCTGTGGGGGCCAAGGTGAGCAAAGATCGCCTGGAGACAGCTTCCACTTCAAAGAAGAATAAGAATGCAAGCAAAGCCAAGGGGAAGAAAACGTACAAGTCCAAGAACTACAGCCAGACAGCGTACTTTGGCAAGGGGGGCTGCGTCTATGTCAATATCAAGTTGGCTGAACTCTTTGCCTTTTGGTTGCACTTGTATTGTGCGCGGAGATGTGTACATGTGCATAGCCCCGTTGTGAACACAGGGGTGCGTGTTCGATTGGGCCCTTATAAGACTGTTTTCGGATCAGTTCCACAAGTCCCCCACACTTCACACAGCCTCGTTGTCGTCCGCTTGCGCCGCCAAGGTCGAAAGGATGGTGTCTCACCAGGGCACCCTGTCCAAGGCTGTCATGAAGCCGGTGGTCGATTGTTT